GAAAAATATCGATTTTGGACACCCTATATCTCTGTAATCATTCCCGCTAAACCCCAAGTGTGATGCATTGATGAAATCAGCTATTCAGAGAGAATCTTAAGATGCAATTACATACAGGGTGTTTCCTTTTTGAAAATCGAAATTTGATGCCCATAACGCTTCAAGGTTTCAACTTTGGAATATAATAATCGCAAGAAAATGTGTTCCCCGCCGAGTTGAAATCGACCTGTTCGAGCGATTCTCAATGCATTTAACGATTTCGGAGATGATGGGGGTGACAAGTTTCTGCTGGGACACACTGTATACATATTTATGTTATATAGTCATACTATACTGATTCATTCATGACAGTCAAAATAAACACTTTGTCAATGATTTTTTTTTCATATGAGGTCACCATCTTCTGTTTCTCAAACATGCCCAGCAGGTGATGTAATTTCATTCAAGAAATCCTCAAGGGGTCATTATTTCGCTGAATAAAATTTGAACAAAAGGGTTCTCTTGCATTTTCGTTAGAGAAAACATTTTTATGACTTTATTCACTCGAAAAACAATACAATAGTGCCATAGAGCCAAATCAGATGAATTAGAGGGATATTTGAAATAATTCGAATCCAACTAATTCTATCATGGGATGATGGGATTTGTGTTTCAAAATTATTGTCTTCCTAAATGGATTCCATTTCATATTTGTTTTCAATGATACTGCATTATATCATTCAGCTATTGGTCAGTTGTACTTCAAATGTTTCTGTCAATCAATTCGACATCAAACACTCAATGGATTTCATTTGTCTAGACTTTTCAATGAAATTTTGATAATTTTTCCTCAACTTGCTTCTTCACATGATATTATCCTGAAATATTTCAACATCACTCCAACATTCTCATTGTTAGATTTTTTTCTTCAAATTAAAGCAGGCATTATGAACATGCAGTCTGTTGAATGACATGACAACTTATGAAATTCTCAAGTACAAATCGAGTTTGTTCATTACAATCGGTCTATCCCGAGGTCTATCCCTTCCAAAAACTTTGAATCTTGATGGTCAACAACTCATTCTAACTCATTATGAACTCTTGTATCAAATTGTTGATTCTGGAAGGAAATTCTCAAAGATCTAGAAGAAAACCATTAGTTCTTCTTCTTCTTCTTCTTCTTCCTATTAGGTTTATTGGATTTCTGTCTCCTTTCGGTATTTCTCTGAATCAAGTCATTATTTTTTTCAATAAATATACTTGGTTATGTGATATTATCGACTCGGCCCATCACCATGGCCGGAAATCGAGTCGATCAATGTTCATAACATTCGTATGTATTCCTCTTTTCCAACAAATCCGTTATCATTCGGCCTGGGTACCAGCGTAGAGATGATGGAGGACGTTCGACTTCAAGTATGCCCCCCTTATCCAATCAATCCGTTATCATCCGGCCTGGCTACCAGCGTAGAGCTCGGCGTAGAGATAAAGAGGACTGACATTTTTCAGACACACTTATTAAACTTATTACATTAACCCGACTTGAAATTGCAATTATCAGAAAAATAACTTCACGCTGCATAAGTATAAAACGATTCAATGGATATAATCTTAACTAGGAGATTTCGGGAGAATTTTGATGGAACTTATGAATCTATCGATAGTTTCCTGCATAGAATTCTTCTTTTCGTTATTTCTATTCCTACTTTTTTTTTTAGTGCGCTGTTTCTACCATTCCTTCCTTGTAAATACTTATCGATGTCAATAAAATTAAATGTCAAAGCCCCCTTGATTAGTCTTAATTACGACTGGCCCGTCATCATCCAATCCTGCATCCTGTACCCATCTCACATGCACGCACACATCAACAAACTGTGATATCGACGCCGAACCGGCCAAACGTTTTGTTCGAAGCCGACTCGATTGTCTCGTTTGGAATTAATTAATCGAACGCAAGCACGAACGAACAAGAATGTTATTAAATTTGACATGTGACACAGCAGTTGTTTCTGTGTTGTTCGCAACAGAACGTGTGCGATTATTCGCTTCGGATAGGTCAATCCGGGTGGCGGGGACAATTATTTTCGTGTGATTGTTTGTAATAAAGTGTGTATGTGGATGATGTTCTCATTCTGGTTTGATGGCTTTTTCCAGTTTCAAATATCCGTATAAACGTAATCAGTTTGAAGATGTAAGTAATTCTTGTTCAAACCCCATCAGCATCAAGAATTCAAATTCGGTAGTTTCGGTAATTTTCATACTTGGGATAGAGAAAGTCGCATAATATGACAACATAGAATATTCGTTTTATTTGGTTTTTTGAAAATCAAACTCCAAATTTCGTGTTCCAATATGGAAATACTATTTAGACGCCCACTTAACATATTTCAGAAACGTTTCAGAAATGTCTTTCGGATATCAGAAGCCTTTCCACTCTAGTCTCTCTGAAGTTTTAAAAACGTTCCAGAGAATGTAAATGTCCTACCTGAGTGAAGTTTCATGCATGGAACGTTTCAATATCATCGTCCCAAACACGTTCCAAGACAACCGTTATGGGCACGTTCCAACAAAAACTATCTTGGATGCGTTTCAAAAAAACAGTCCTGGACACGATTCACAATGGTTTCCAATTTTGTAAAGTTTTATCAACTCTTCAAAGGAAGTGGATATGGTGTTGAAATAAAGATACATAGACAGTATAAAGAGACAAATTTATTAGGTACTACTTATTCTCATTTTACAAACAGAAGGCAATTACCCATCACACAGATGTGTGATATATACAAAACGCAAATTGTCTAATCAGGTCCACACTATAGCTCAACATGTCCTTTTTTTATGTTCTGGTTACCACGAAAAGGGATATCCTGTAATGTTCAGAGAACATCGTGAGAACCAAGGGAAATAAGGTAGGAATTGGTGTTCTTCTTAAATTTCTGAAGCTTATATGCCTCGGGGATCACCTCCCTAAGCCATGTGTTCCAGAGCCTCGCTGTACGTTGAATGAGCGAATCTTTGGAAAGAGATGTTCTGCAGGTCTCCAAAGTGATCACGAAGGGGTGCAAAGCCTCAACTCGACGGGTTAATCTCGCGGGTATTGCCAAGGGAGGAACAATTGTTGATATTTCAGAATAGCATCGTCCATGAAGATATACATAAAATAGAGCCAGATCGCCAACTTCCCTACGGTGTTCCAGAGAAGTGAGTGAGTTTGTGAGCGAGGCATCACCCACGAGACGAATTACCCTTATTTGGACAGAATCCAACAGTTTCAGGGTATGTGGTGCCAAATATGGGAACATTATTCCAGGACAGGTCGGATCTGTGCCTTATAGATCATGAGCAGCTGACTGGAAGTGAAATAGCTCCTGGCCCGAAACAGAAAACAAAGTTTTTGGGATGCACTTTTAGCAATTGATCTCACGTGATTTTCCCAAGAAAGGTTATTGCTGATAGTTATACCAAGCATCGAAATGGATGTCTTCAAATGAACACTTTCAACTGATATCTCTCACAATATACTGTCCCCAAAACAGCGAAAAAATATACAGCCAACCAATATAATTGCCAAAAGGATGGATCCTACCTTTTATGTAAACAGGTTTTCATGATGGTAATCCGTGCCGTTCATCAATATCATTCACATTTTCCTCGGATGTGGAATCATTCTTGATAAAATACTTTGTGAATTCTGATGACCCTTTTTGGCTCATCGAAACACAGCAACTGGATACGATGGATCACAAATTAACTACCAGGTTTGACTCCCACTGTCAAGCACATCCATTCAGAAATCAGAAACAGTGACTAGGTATTTCGCAAACTCGAAATAGGACTGTAGCATTAGTTGGCGATTGAGTGTTGTTGAGCTCACGCTCATCTCACGCTGTCTAAGCTATTATTGACTCTCGTCTCGTTTCAGTCGACTCTCTCTGACCTTGTACTTTCTTGTACCGATACCGATCCTTCTCCTTTCCGCATTCACACCCGCTTCTCACATCCATCACAACTTTTCATAGCAACAAGAAATTCGACATACGAAATACATGCTCCCTCCCATCTACATTCATACATGGCAGGATACTAAAGTTTAGGCATGAACAATATTGAAAATTGAATAAGCGTTGAAGTAAAATATAATTATGAGCACATTTTAACATTGATGGCGTGGTATAGTAGCAGCTGTTTCTTGATTTAGGATTTCCTATCGTGATAGATATTTATTATGTAGAATAGGTGTAGGCAACGCAACAAAAAACATATAACATCAGTAGTAGAAGCAGCATTAGAACATGAATTCTTACATGGGTGCATTTTTCTCGCAACATTCCATTTTGGTTTCGTTCAAACGTTCTTGCAACTAAAGAATATTCGGGAAACCTGGACGAAACGTCTGGGTTACGTTTCAAACAGTCCACAATAGGGTAGAATTGAAATGTTTCCGGAAAGTTTCATGTTTAGTGTCCGATTATATTCACAAGATTGTTTTCAGCTTCAACTCGTGTGAAAATACTTTAAATCAACCCAGGGTCCTCAATCGCATTTAGAGCATATTATTCTGCTTGCCCAGTTGGCCACAGTACCTATTTTTCTTCCGGTACAGCGATACTACATAATGACAGATACCGTCGAGTCTCATGACTCATGGCATTCTGGAATCACTTCCTGCGGCTCTCGGGGTTTTCCTGTTGCCTTCACACTGGCGTTTTGATATTCTTCAGATAAGTCTGAAGCATATTCTAGAACAGTTTTCCCGTCATATTTATAGATGATAATTCATCAGTTCTACCAACCTTGTTCATACACGCTTCATTGAGATTGGGTTTCAATCAGTTATATTCACCTTGGTGTCACAGAACAAAATTTCATTGAAATATTAAATTTTTCGAGTAGAAAAATAAAGGATTTTGAATTATTCATTCGTCAATCGAGACGAATATATCGATTTATTTAGCAAATGAAATATATCGATATTTTTGAAAATATATCGATATACCATTGTCATCCCTAGGGATAGGTTTATGCTTGTGTCTCAAGCAGGCGATGAAAATGTAGCCAGCAAAGACCTGTCATATTCAATTTGCCGGTATCTTTTGGGTTTGTTGCAAGGTAACGTTTGAGACCCTGAGATGTATCACTAATTGATTGACAGCTGGCAGCTCATCGTTTGATCAACAAAATATCAAACTCACTTTGTCACATTATTATGCTTCTTCAATTCTATCTATGAAAACATTAATTTGATGAATCAACTCTTAGCTCTTAAACGATTCAAGACATGAAAATGAGGATATTTCGAGTATTTCAGTGAATCCCTCATCATTCAAACCGTAATATTCTTTACGAGTCCTCAGCCTACCTCCATCAACTCTCTCAATCCAGATCTTCGTTAGTCCCAAGCGAGCTGCTCGAAATGAATAAGGTAGACATATAAAACGAGGCTGTATGTTAACGTCTCCTGGAAATCACAGAGAGAATCCGACTAAATCTAGATCCAGATATTTTACTGCCTTGTCGTTTGCGAAACGGTTCATTTCATTACGCGAGACGCTTCTCTTGAATACAGTCGAAATAAATCCACATTCGAGAATTGCGGAATCTGAAATAATAAACTCCTTTCAATGTTCCGCACAAAAGTTGTTGATCCATGAAAAGCTGCCCCAATTTTTCGGAGCTGGCATTCGGCCAGACCGTAAAACGGGTCACAGTCGATACTGAAAGGGGAATATGTCATTGCGTCTTGTACAAAATTCTATAATTAATTTTTCTAGGTTGAAGCGATCACAATCTGGGCGAAATATTGAGTTATTGAACTACGACATGCGATGAGATATCAGAGATTATTCCACTCAGTTCAAACGATTTTGTATTTGGCTTCCTCATTGGTTGTTCAATTAAAAATAAAACGAAATGAAGTAGTTGTTGTTCTCTCGTTATCTACCAGTTTAATTCATTCATGAACATTTGTGGAAATTTCGTCGAGCTTTGAATATTTGTTAGACATTCCATTCCACTTTGAGCTTTTTGGCTTTTTCTCAGTTGAAATCATGCTAGTCGACCAACCAGCCACTCCCATTTCATGTTGATTCGTTTTGGAATATTTATTTCCTGTGCTTCTACTCAGGTGGCGTTGGTCCATCTCCAAGATGGCATACGCCTCTTGGATATTAAATGCTGGGATGTGTTTACGTTGACTCATGTTCGACCAAATAGCGGTCATGAATGCTATCTGGAGACAACCCTGCACTGATAAAAGCCAATAAAGCTCTAAACCGGTCTGTAGGTAGTCAAGGGTTCCAGAACAATTTTAGCACATTTCAGCATTCAAGGAAGAAACACTTGCGTTGTTATTCGTATATTCGAATCATTGCACATATTTCAGGATGATGTAATTCAATGTTCTGCGTGGCATATAGCCAGGAAAATAGTTGTTTTCCTCTCGTTATCTACCAGTTTCGTTCATTTATGAACATTTGTGGGAATTACTTCGAGCTCTGAGTATTTATTTAACATTTGCATGTCAGTCGGGCAACCAGCCACTCCCATTTCATGGGATTAGTTTTGGAGTGTTTCTTTCCTGTGCTTCTACTCAGGTGGCGTTCGTCCATCTCGCAGATGCCGTACGCCTCTTGGATATTAAATGCTGGGATGTGTTTATGTTGACTTATGTTCGACCAGATAGCGGCCATGAATGCTATCTGGAGACAACCCTGCTCTGATGAAAGCTAATAAAGCTCTAAACTGGTTTGTAGGTCGTCAAGCGTTCCTGAAGAATTTGATCACATTTCAGCATTTAGGAAAGAAACGCTTGCGATTTCATTCGTATATACGAATCATTGCATAGATTTCAGGGGGATGTAACTCAATGTTCTGCGTGGCATATAGCCAGAAAAGTTGTTGTTTTTCTCTCGTTATCTACCAGTTTCGTTAATCTATTAACATTTGTGAAAAGGACTTTGGGCTTGAGTATTTATCTAACATTTCATTCCACTATGAGCATTTTTCACTTCTTTTACTTTTACTAGTGAGTCGCTGTCAGTGGTCACGCCCTAAATTCTTTGATATATGTATGTAAGCATGAAACAAATTATTGTTTCATCAATGAAATGATGAGTGAAATAATCTCAACAAATAGAACTCGTTTTATTGATGATTAACATAATTTGTTTCTCGAAATCGAAGGGATTTTTATTTCGATAATCATCAATACACTTGTATTACGTACGAGTAGAAGAAGGTATTCACGTTGTACGTAGACCTCCACTTAGACTTCGTATTAGCAAGCTTGATCAATGTACACGAAATTGACCCTTTTTGACGATCGGTTGTGGTATAGGCATCCGAACATACATCGCGTCATTTCACGAAAAATCGAAAATATGGATTTCATCGAAAATTTCACGTTAATGGGTTAGCTTTCGAACGTTTCTGAACCTACACTGAAAAAAATAGTCGGTAGTAAATACCAAACGCTAAATAAAATAGGCGCCTTAAAGAAATATATTGAGAATTCACATTGTCTATCTGATGAAAATATTGATTATTTCTCGATATATTCCAGAGAAAACATCAACTTGTTTGGCTATATGCCACGACGAACATTGAATTAAATCTATACATTATTGAACACACAAAATAAGAATTCGAGATAATATCTTCTCTGGGGTTGAGAATGTTCATTATCTTTCAGATAAAAATATATGTATAATGTGTATATAATATTATTTCGGAATATTCTACAGAAAACAACTACTTTGTTCGTGATTGTTTAGATTTGAAATGAAACTATTGGTCCCTTCGATGCACTGGTTCTAATTTATTATTCACCTTCACATTTGAATACAAGAAAAGAAAAAAACGGATACATATAAAACTTCTGGAGTTTGATATTGCGTCTCTCGATAATCGAGAAGTCCATTTTTACTAGTCACAGATACACGGAACACATAATTTCTTGACAGTGATGACAGTATACATTCACCGCTCCAAGTACATGTAAAAAAAATGTAGGCAACATAAGGGTGTCATGCGAAATAACATAGGCGTAGTTGAAACATATGAAAAAAACTAAAATAATATGTGCGTTAGTTTATTTACATTTGTTGAACACCCAAGATAAGGATGTGAATATAAAAAATCTTCTAAAATTATTTTTCTATTGTAGAACAATGATCTTGCTTGACTGATGATGGACCTGAGTGACTGAAACATCTCCCATAATGAATACCTTTAGTCATTACTCAATAGAAATGACATTGTTTTACTTGTGCCTTGAATTTTTTACTCCACTTCCAGTAAACATGGACTTTTTACTGAAATTGCCGTTTCAAATGTCCACTTCAAAACGAGATTCAAGATGTATCCACACATTTTTCTCTAGTGTTGGTTATCACACTATACAGGGTGTATCTAAATAACATCCAAAGAATTCAAGGAGTAATTCCTTGTGATATTTTAGGAAATGAAGTTCATATAAACATGTGTCCTAACTTGCTTCGTTTTCGAAATACAGAGTATTGATATTTCCTTGAAAAATCGTTTTTTTATTTATCACTCAATTTTATTTTCATCAATTTCAATAGAACGTTGTTGTTTTGTTATTAGTAATATGGAGCTTCTTCTAGTGCGATTAGATTCGAAATAATATTTGCAGTGGCGTCACTGGGTTAATATATCGATATTTATGGGGAATGTCATTGTACACCGGTTTCTCTTAGTTTCATATTTTTATTAGATTGAACTATTGAAATAACAACTCTTTTATCCTCGTGTGTGATTTTTGTACCCAGATTATTTTTTGAGGAGACAATCAAAATTCGATTTGACTCCAAATTTTAATGTAGGTGTTTTCAAAACTTCCATCGAGATTACTCAATAACCCCCCATTAGAATCATTTTGAAATTCTGAAGCTTTGTCAGTCTCCAACCATACTGAATTTTGGCATCATGAAAGCATATACAGGGGGGTTATAAATAAAAACAATTCATAATTCCAACTCCAACATCCTGTATCTCAAGAACAGGACAAGTTATATAGGACATATGTTTATATAAACACTATTTGCTAGAATATCATAAGGAATCACCCCTGGAATTTTTTCGGTGATATTTAGATACACCCTGTGGAGGCACCTATACCTAGTTTTCGAAATGCAGAATTCCATGAGAGACTGCAAGCATGAATAGCAATAATTACATGTTTTATTCATCAGCATTTCAATAATAATGTGGAAGTTATGCAACTTGAAGCATATTATTTGTAGGATGTCCCATTGATATAACTGCCATAATCGAGGCCATAATCCAGTGTCCCAGGCGAATGGGAACCCGTTAAGAATCAAATTTACAGCTTGAAGCTGAAAAAAACGAAAGAACGAACGCGATTCCAAACATTAAAACCACATGTGTCTTCAATTAAAATAAGCTCGCAGACTGACCAACCACTATTATGAAATATCGTTATGACAGGTACATTTTCTACAACTGCGAGCAAACATCGCGTAATTAATTACGAATTATGGGAAATGTATGACCTATTCCCAAAGATGAGAGTCTCTGTGAATGAAAGTTGCAGAGTGCTTCTGCTTCGGCAATTACTGCGATTGAATATTGAGAGGAAGTGTATCATTAGAATCAAATTGGTATTCGTGGTCGCAGCCATGTTCATAAATTGAACGAGCCAGTTAAGAGACTGAAATGACTGATAATAAAATAGTCAATAGACAATAATAGACATACAGTTCTTTGAGTCTCCATAATCTGCACCATAATGTCATCGACGAGACCATTAGATTACGAGCCTACATATAAAATTGTTAATATGAATATAAATGGATAACCATTTGCATTGCATCAGAATAAGTTTTCCCTCTCTTCGTTAGAAAATCTCCCTAAATGATTCAGATTCATGGACTCATTGAAGCTTTTTTCTGAGACAAATGGCTCACTTCGAAATCGAAATTAGCAAAAAATAAATAAAGGTGTATTCAATTATGGAAACAAAAAATATCAAATGAAATGTTTTCTAAAATGCAAAAGTACTTCCAAATGTCCAGATTGGTGATAAGAAATACATTTCTTGAATTAATTTCTGGATACAAAAATATAATGAACTCACTGACTGTTTATTTTGTTGCCATTTCAAACCGTGAGAATGTTATTGTGATTGACTTGGAAGCGAAGTATTCATGAAAAATGAAGTAAAATCATATGGTACATATTGAATACGTTGCCACAGTTGTTCTTGATTATCTACAGGTGGAATCAAGATGTCCCAATGAGAATGAATCCATTGGAGTTGTTTCTGGGAAACGTGGCAACCGATTCACTCTCGTGTATTTACTTTCCAGGGATAAAACATCAGCAATTTTCATGGGAAATAAACTAGGAGAAAGACAAAAGAAAAAGAGTTAGTTTTTGTATATGACTAAGTCAACATTCATGAACTTTATAATCAAACTGCCAACTTTGTCAAAGAAGTTTGCTCGATATTCCATTGGTTAATCTTGAGTTCGGATGACCTCAAATTGTGGCAACTCCTTCTAGTAGAAGGGGTTCGTCGAACTCTTTCTTTCTCGACACTTTCGTCTACATCGTGTAGGTAGGTAATTTGATTCGTGAAACCCGACGAGGAAGAGCAAACATTAATAATGGCTCCCAAGAAAAATATCATTAAAGATGGTATAAATATAGAAGACTCGATTTGACGAAGGTACACGAACCACGAACGAGCGATGCAAACAAAAATGAACAAATATTTGACGATGCCCTTGTTGATAAAGTGCGAGTAACATAATATGAGTGTTTCGACCCTTTTTCCTTATCAAATCAGTTTACTATAAACATATATTCGAAGTATTAACGATGGACTTTGTATCGCGTTAATTAATAATTGAAAAATCATGAAAGCCGTCTATTTCCCGAAGTGGCCTCAAAATGATTCCCTGACAAAGAAGTCGGTAGGAATTTCCTTTATATCAATTTCCATCATCCTCCAGAGTCGACAAGGCATATAAGCAACAATATCGCAAGAGAAAGCGAGCTTTTTGCAGAAGTGTTCGCAGCAAACTCCACCTTAGATTTCCAGGGAAGAGAGCCGCCAGATATTCCTTCCTTTGAAAGTCGAATGAATGAAATCGTCTTTCGCCAAAGCACTATCAGACGCATGCTACATGGTCTCAAAACTATAATTATTCTAACAATCCTAATGTAATTCCTCCTATTATCCTCCGAAACTGTGCACCAGAATTGACACCGATTCTCCGCAAGTTGTGAACCATCTCGTCAGGTGTTTTTCCGTCCAACCAATCCCCCCAAAAAAAAGGAAGTAAAATCTGTATAGCAACTATAGGCCTATCGAACATTGAGCTTATCAAACATATGGCCAGCTCAGGAATCTTGAATGGACAATATGCCTTTCGCCATGAAAGATCAAATGGGGATTTACTTGCTTACATTGTCCATATATGACAAGCTTTGTAATATGATTTTTGTGATCAACCGACTTGGTGTTATTCTGTTTTTTTTTTTGATAACACAAGTTGTCTCTTGCTTGTGATCGGTCAGATTATGTGATGAGTGAGAGAGTCATTAAAAATTTATCCGACAAGGTCACCTTCACAAACTAGCATCATATGGCTTACCAATTCAGGTATGCCAATTTTCATCCAGTTTTCTCTCCGACTGATTGCTCATGTGGTGGTTGCCGTCTGATACCATTGCCATCAATTTCGGCGTGCCACAAGGATCAATTTTGGAACCAACATTGTTCCTACTTTATATCAATGATCTGTTGGGAGCAACCACTAGCCCAATCCTCGCTTCGCAGGCGATAGTCCTCTCCTTACTGCGGTCTCTTCTAGAATTCCCATTTCATACCAGGAAACTTAGAACCTACGACGAAGGCAGGTCAACGCTCTCAATGACTATCTTGCTGAAATTACAGCCTGGGGAACCAACAACCTAGTTGAATTGTACGCCACAAAAACTCAAACCTGTATTTTCCCTAGAAAGGCAAAGCTCAGTGTGCTATCTGGTAACCACCATTTCCACCAAGACCACTATATCGATGGTCGGTATTTCTATCAGCAATACTCTTTTATGGGAAAATTATGATCGACCCATCACGAAAGCTGCTTCACAGAAAGTCGGATTTTTATTCCGTGCGAAAATATACTTTATACATCAACAGCTTCTCATGATCTACAAAGCACAGATATGGCCAGTTCTAGATTACCATATGGGGTTCAGCACCCAAACATACCCTGATGCTCTTAGATTCCATCCAGAGAAGAGCCATCCGCCTGGTGAGTGATGCCACACTAATACTTTGACTTCGTTTAGAACACCGTAGAAAAGTTGGCGACCTTTCACTTTTCTATAGTTACTTCCACGTGGGAAATCTCTGCTATTACCCATCACCAGCATTACCACTTAGACGAACTCGACAGGCTCAGTCAGCACATCCTTTCGTTGTGAACCTTGTCAAATATCTCGAACAACACTTTATCAAAACTCATTCGTCTATTCTGTCTATAGGATGGCAAAACTTCGAAATTTGCTAATGGAAGTATTCCCGAGAACTAATAACCTCCAAAAGTTCACAAAAATATCCATCACCTATCTCCTCTACCCATTCTACCTAGGTCCGCACGATGTTCTTCGAACAATATCGGAATTTCCTTGCGTGTACTTCAAGAGATACAAAAAAATTGATGAATATCCGTTAGTGACTTGGCAACGTGTCATCCGAGTTTACGCGAATTCTGGTGAGGCTGGCGTAGCAATATTAACAACTGACGTAATCAAGATCGATATCGCATGATGGCGGAGAAGCACGTTCTGTTCGAATCAGTGCATAATTTTCAACAACTCTGAACAGAGCAGTGGCTCATATAATTTGCAACGAACATTTTTTGAAGTCAACAACACAGTGCGTGACTGTTGAATGTGACAATTCAAGATCAGTTCAGTAGACTAGACCATATGGATCAATCGGAAAAAAGGCCCTTTCGATTGGGAGAAAGGCTAGTGAAATGTTTTCTTTCAACAAGATAGATTCAAGATGTAAGCTTTCGAGCAGTCAGAACAGACTGACTGTAGCATGGGCAATGAAGAGGCAGACTCACTTGCCCGAGCAAGAGCAAACAGAGCTCTGAATGGCCCAGAACCCTTCTGTGGTATTGCGATAGCTATACAAAAGACTAGTATCAAATCATGGATGCAAACCAAATCTTAAGAATGGTGGAACAACTCGCCGGGAATGAGACAGGCAAAAGAGTTTATTAAAAAACCATCGCCAACATTCACAGAATATCTACTGAGCCAGAAACGAAGTTCAACTAGAATACTAGTGGGACTCCTCACAGGGCATTTTAGGCTCAACAAACACATGAGTACGATAGGTCTGACTGAAGAACTGCTGTGCTGGTTCTGTCAGGAAGAAGAGGAAACAGCAGTACACATACTTTGCCACTGTGAGGGCTTGTCAAGACTAAGGTTCCTTACGCTGGGTGAGGAAAAACCAGAAGCCCAAAGATACACAGGGGATCTGAAAGCTAGCCTATGGAGTCTCATAGAGAAGGCGGGGCTAGCCGAAGAACTCTAATCGATTTTGAGGGCTGACACAATAGATCTGAAAAGGTCGAGGTGTAGAGGCAGATAGCCCGAAGGCCCCATTTTAAATCTAATCTAATCTTATCTTTCGAGCATCTGTACACTGTGTTTTTGTTCAAAGTTAAAAAAGAATCCATAATATATATCTCCTCTCCCTATCCTTCCTATAGGTAAAGTTTATGCAAAGTCAGTTGAACAGATCATCAAACGAATGTCGGGCCGCGCTGCCGCCCTCTTTGAACTTTCAAAGGGACCGACGGCTTGAGGTGATGTGTTTTTCCAACTGACTTTGCAACTATACGCACGATGTTCTTCGAACATTATAGAAATTCCCTTCCGTGGGCTCCAAGAAATAAAAAAATACGTTCTGGATGTTTTTTAACTTCTTTACTTTTTTGCAGAGAGAATCAGCTCAGAGGGATGCTGATCGAGAACGACGCCTGCGCGCCGATAGCGAGACGCGCGCCAAACAGGCCCTTCAGGAAACAGCTCGCTGCCGGTCCAGGCTCAAGCTGCTCACCACCGAATTCCAAAGGTAAGGAAATATGCATATGAAAATCAAAACCGCTTCAAATGTTGTCAATAATAATATAACAATAATAATATTAGTTCATTCAAATTCAAATATAAAAGTGCAGGTACAGATAGAAAATCAGTTTGAATAAACTGGTGACACCATAAGTAGTTACCTACTTGTTGGTGAATATACCGGGTGGCTACGGAAGTATTGCCTATGGAATATCTCAGTTATTGTATAAAGTAGGTTTGTGAAATTTGGAGCGTCGATATAATGACAAAAGAGCTAGAATTTGAGCATATTGACATGTCGAAGTTAACTTCCGGTCTGACCGGAAGTAACATCAACTTTCTTATTTTAAATGGAAACCTTATTTTTTTTCTTTTCGCTTCATTCAGCATTCAGTTCCCTTTCTAATGACATATCACAAGTTGGTCTTTAACCAGAAACTAGATCAGAAAAAAAAATATTATTGAAATTCACCGAGTAGGCCGTGGAATCAAAATGAAAGCCAAAAATTGAAAAGTTGGCTATGAAAACCATACGTCACTTGATAACAGTTGCTACTACTGTGATATTTTATTTTCATTCGTCGGCGTTATAGAAAGCCGCCAAAAAAAATATTGGAAAAATTGAGAAAAAAACAATACTCTGTAGGTCCATAACTTAAATAGGAACATACAACTTTTTCTTGCCTGTACTATTCAGCATAACCATTCCTTTCTAATGATATAATAGAAAGTCATTCTTTGAAATAAAATACCAAAAAATCCATTTTTTTTTTTCGATAAATCTGTTTCTTTGTTATTTGAAGAATAATAATTGGATTTTTTGGTATTTTATTTCAAAGAATGACTTTCTATTATATCATTAGAAAGGAATGGTTATGCTGAATAGTACAGGCAAGAAAAAGTTGTATGTTCCTATTTAAGTTATGGACCTACAGAGTATTGTTTTTTTCCCAATTTTTCCAATATTTTTTTGGCGGCTTTTTATAACGCCGACGAATGAAAATGAAATATCACAGTAGTAGCAACTGTTATCAAGTGACGTATGGTTTCCTTAGCCAACTTTTCAATTTTTGGCTTTCATTTTCATTCCACGGCCTACTCGGTGAATTTCAATAATATTTTTTTTCTGATCTAGTTTCTGGTTAGATACCAACTTATGATATGTCATTAGAAAGGGAATTGAATGCTGAATGAAGCGAAAAGAAAAAAAAATAGGGTTTCCATTTAAAATAAGAAAGTTGATGTTACTTCCGGTCAGACTGGAAGTTAACTTCGACATGTCAATATGCTCAAATTCTAGCTCTTATGTCATTATATCGACGCTTCAAATTTCACAAACCTACTTTATACAATAACTGAGATATTCTGTAGGCAATACTTCCGTAGCCACCCGGTATATATTTATTCTCAATTTCAATTTCAATCAGCTGTTTATAATATGTATCATGTTCTATACAAATTCAATGAGATTTATGAGTTCTTGCTAGTGAATATGTTGAGTATCCATAATTATATACTAGCCAAATTTTCAGTAGTTCATGACCGAACAGAAAACAATCACATTGAAACTACCATATTTATGATTATGAAATAATAAAAGTAAAATATATGGAGTATCATATATTTTTTTATTATTTTTTCTCTTCTTTCATGATGGATATTTATGGACGTATTATGAGACTAATTTATATAAAATATATTGATGAAATGAAACAACAACAACAACAAAACAAATATACAAACAATCAAACAAACAGTTAAAAATACGTGAACAGAAACGAAACCATGTTTATTTTCAAACACAACATGAGCACTGGAGTTGATCAAATATATTCAGTCAATCAAATCTTGTAATGTAGATCGTGGTGTTCTCAAAAGCCATATAGTTTCAATTGTTTTTTGAAAGTATTAAATTGATGACTTATTTTTATGTCATGTGGAAATATATCAAATAATTTCGAGGCAATATAAGTGAAGTTCTTTCCTTCAATCGCCTTTTTCACAATATGCTTTTGTGATACTTCATTTTTAGTTCTAGTGTTATATTTATGACTCCTATACGTTATAGAACCAGAACATCCCGAATTTGATAGCCAAAATAACTATTATACACTTTTTCGCGGTGGATGCCACATTAGAAGTATCTAGAAAACCATATGACAAATCAATTTAAAAAAAATTGAGGGCTTGCCACTTCTATTAGAAAGTAGTAGCAACTTTGTTATTTCAAATGGAAGACCCTGTATTTCAGTGCATTCCTAGATTCTTTTTGGAGAGATAATTTCATCAATGTTCAAATTTGGAGTCTAGCAGTAATTATTATATACAGAGATTATTTCATCGGTATTTTTCAACTTTGGGATTTCTTTGTCGATACGTCGAAACGGTTTACATGTTCCGATTTTCACTTTCGATTTACTGTCTACTGACATTTAATTGGAACAAATACAGGGATCTGTTCTGTATCTGGTGGTGAATACCAGCAGATAGTGAATCAAATATTAAGATAGGGACATGTGAGCCGTTTTGACCGATAATGAAAAGTTTTGACAGAAAAAAGTTGTTTAAAATGTTGAAAAATCTTGATTTTGAACACCATATCAGGACCCCGAGTGTAATACATTGATGATATCAACATTTCAGGGAGAATATAAAAATACAATTGGAAGCAGGGTGTTCTATTTAAAATAAAAAGGTTGCTACTACTTTCTGCTTTGAGCGGCAACGCTGCATTGTCGAAAATATCTTAGACGGATAGAGCATGCTGCTTGATTATCGTCCACCAATTCTCGAAATGATCTGTTTTTCGGTTCTCCAGATTATACACACAGACACACAGAGCTGGGCTCTGTAATTTCGACGTGAAAATTCAGTCTGATACTCCCTAATCATTCTCTGAAACTCATCCTAACCCTCACCCGTCTCCTTCCCCCTGACACAGCTCATAACGCTAGTCGAGTTGTTTCAATGTGGTTTTTGTTTTCAAATTTTCCACAAACGCAATAACGATAAATTATAGAGATCATGTCAGCGCAATCCAAACTAGGAGTGGCCAACTTTTTGAACATTTCAAGATCTTGTCTTGATCTCAAGACACGAAATAGGTACTTATGCGATATGTATCAATTTTCCAAGAAGAAAACACTGTTTTCCTATTATGCTTTGCATTGGTGTTGTACATTCCCAAGTGGATACAGTCTGTCAGTCCCCGCAATAATCGGATGCACAGGAATCCACTCATTGATGCATCCACCCCTCGCAGATGGAAGATGCATTTTTCTTATCTGAAGCCACCGAAACAGGAGTTACGTCAATTTACTCAGCTCCCCCACACGTCTGATTCCCTTGTTAGCACACGTCGAAGTCGGTGGCATTCGGCGCTAACCACCACACTCGCAGAACGTCAGCTTGTCTTATCGTATTTACATAGATAGCTTGTTTAGCTTGTTTGCTTGTTAACGTTATCGCTTGACACAGACAGCACGACATCGATGCAAAACACGGCGACGATCCGTCTTCGTCATAAAAGAAATGTCTCGACAGTCTCTCGAGGATTCGTGATTATCGATCCTACGATCCCTAAGAGTGGAATTGGCCTCATATTCTTGAAGAAACTCACCTCGATATTTCCAATAAAATCATTGAAAACTAACGTATTACAGGTTGTTACTTTACTAATTGGAAATATCACAACTATAGAAACCTTAGCTCAAAATACTGGATTGGGAATATCTGTGGAAACTCCTAATTTCTGACTAGAGCAGAAGTAGTTTTTTAAGAAGTGAATTTCTTTTCTGCCCGATTCAGTGGCCCATGTTGATTTCTGATAGCTATCATATTGGCGCAGTCAGAGGATGAAATAATGATAAATGAAAAAAATCTGATGTTTGAATTGTATTCATTCAATTATCAGAAAACAAATAGTGAGTGTTCAATAGTAGATCTTCTTCTAATTGCTGATAACCTAACCTATCAACGTGATGGACGAACCATCTAAATAAGGAATATTTACATTTTTTTCAAAAATGCTTGAGAGGATTTGTTGATTGGTAAGGTTATTGTCAAGCACCTTTTATAGTTTCGTTACAAGTAAACGAGTGAAACTCAAATACTTTATATCGATGTATGAGTAAAATGGCTGACTGCGCCATATTTACGACAATATGATAACTACTATATAGAAATCAACATTGGCCACTGAGGAGAACAAAAATAGTTATGTATACACCAAGGTAGTATCAGTATTACAGGGACCAGATTATATCCCGAGGCTTCTGCCGATGGGTATAGGATACAAGGTGTATATTGAATTTTTTCCACCACTGGCAGGATATATCAATCACTCTATACCTTTTCAACTTCAATTTCGGAATCGGTGAGTTATATTTCGGAAAAAGTAATCTCGATTTCAGAATTGGTTAGTTCGATTTCAGAAATGGTAAACGTAATTTCAGAATCGGTGAGATGAATTTCAGAAAAAGTCCATTCAATTTCAGAGATGGTAAGTTTCATTTCAGAATTGGTTGGTTCAATTTCAGAAGATGAATCCTTATATATGTTTGAAATGTTCTCAATTGCAAAAGAGGAGATTGTTTAATGGACATCCTGCAGATACCATAGTGGTAGTTCTGGATAATGCATTTGCACATTCAAAAATAAAAGAGATATGCATGAAGGGATGTTATATTTTGCAGATTGGCACCTTACAGCCCTATGTTGAATTCGATTGAACATATATGGAGTGCCTTCAAGTCAGAAGTGAAGAGCTTTTTCAAGAGCATCGCCAAAGGGTCATAGCTGGGGATCCGAACAGATTGCGCAACCAGATAGAATTCAGACTGCGATGTCTTGAAGAATGTGCAGATCATTCAATGAAAATGATAACACCTCAAATGTGTTTGCATTCTTATAATCATGTACAACGCTACTATCCTTCTGCGATTCGGATGGAAGACATCTGTGGATTAAATTGAGATTATAATTATGTTATTGAATTGCTTTTGAACAGTTG